GACAAGTTTGGCGCACAGGAACAGAGGGATTGAGGGCCCTGCTCAATGAGTTTACATGCTAGAGGGAGTGGGGTAAAGTGACACAAAAGGTAAGGGTAGGGTAGAAATGTAGGTTTCTAGGATAGTGTTCATTGAGGGGTTGGTGTTTTGTTTTGATGACAGTTTCAGTTTCAGGAGAGGAATCAGGGTGCGGGAAGAGAAAGCTGCTTACAGTTTAATTGATAGGCTTTCCTAAAGAAGTAAATTTTCAAAGATTTTTTGAAGGAGTGGAGATTGGGTGAAAGTCTAACAGAAAGGGGGAGGATGAGAAGAAGCTGTTGATGATCAACAGTGTCAAAAGCAGCAGAAATGTCAATGAGAATTAGGATAGGAAAGATACAACAATGGTGAAAAAGGGGGGAAAGACCCCTTTCACCAGCATTGCAACGGTTGTGAGATACTTAGGGCATAACCCCAGATTGAACATAAAAAAGAAGGACTGGAACGGTAAAGTTAGATAAATAAACAGAACCACTATTTAAATATCTCCTTATCCCTTTGCATGGAGACATTATCTCCTTAGGTATACTTACATTTGACTTCTATTGGGAATTTGTGACATAATTTATTTTAAGTCTTTTATGACTTTATACATCACGATGTCCCTTGCTCCTTTTGCCCTCTAATCAAACAGTGAGCTATACCTTAAATATCAAGCTCAATCTTAGTACTAGATACAGACAAATTATTTTGTTGCAATAATGTGTAACAATTCATATAATTACTTTTGGTCTGTATGTTAACTGTCTGGACTGACTTGATATAGCAGTTAGTCCTATTTTAAATCACTTATTATAATTTTTTCTTTGTTTTTTATTATTACTATATTTTCACTATTTGACTCTTCACATTATGTTATGTTTTTTGCCCAATTAGGGATAATAAAATTTGTAGTTTCTTGTTTTGCTCTCAAAACATACGGTACTTAAACCTATCCATGATAGAGCAGACTCTTTAGGGATACTAGGCCTGCAAGTGGTTCTGTTTATTTATCTAACTTTACCCTTCCAGTCCTTCTTTTTTATGAGAATTAGGATAGAGTAATGGCCATGGGATTTTGCAGTGATAAGATCATTGGATACTTTGATCACAGCTGTTTCAACAGAGTGAAGAGCGCGGAATCCAGGTTGAAGCGGGCCAAGCAGACAGTTGGATTTGAGGAAGTCTGTCAATCTTGCATACAAAACTCTCTAAAGGATCTTGGAGACAAACGTCAGTAGCGAGATAGGGTGGTAGTTGGACGAGGAATTAGGGTCAAGGTTGGGCATGTTTGTAGGGTAAAGGAAATGTGCCAGAGAGAGGGAGAGATTGAAAATTTTAGTGAGAGGCAGAGCAAGAGGAGAAAAAGTGCGGATGAGATACGAGGGAATAGGATCAAGGGAACAGGTGATGGGGTGGGACGAACGGAGCAGAGCAGAAACCTCTTCTGCTGTAGCGGGTCCAAATGAGCATAGGACAGCTGAGGGAGTGTGGTTAGGGGAAATGTTAGCAGTGGATGGAGAGAGATGAGAGATTTCTTCCCTGACTGTAGAAATCTTCTCAGTGAAGTGAGTTGCAAAGTTTGTGGCGGCCAAGTTGGTAGGAGGAGGAGGCACAACAGCCCGATGAACAGTTAAAAGCATGAAACAGTCGTTTGGGCTTGTGGGAGAGTGTGGTTATGAGTGTATTGAAGTAGTTTTCTTTTGAAGAGGAAAGAGCCAGACTGTAGAAGCACAGCATAGATTTATAGTGGAGGTAGTCAGGTGCAGAGCGAGACTTTCTCTAGCAGCATTCAGCAGTTCTGGAACATTTTGGGAGGTATCGGGACAGCTTGGTATGCCAGGGTTGTAACTGGGGGGCGCTTACTGCGTTTAAGTGTAGGAGGTGCCATAATGTTTAGTTGAGAGGAGAGAGTGGAGTTGTAGAGGGAGGTTGTAGTGTTAGGGCAGGTGAGATTTGAGATGGGTGAAAGGAGACTTTGGAGGTTGATGGAGAATTGCTTTAGGTCAAGACAATGGAGGTTTTTGCAAGACTGATGTGGTGAGGGTGGTGTACTTTGGGTACGGGGTATGCGGATGTCAATGGACAGCAGATGGTGGTCAGATAGAGTATAGCCGAAACTGGAAAAATTCTTCAAGTCAGCTATGCCTCCAGTTTGGCTATTTTAGCATTAAATTTGTAGAGACAAGTTTTCGAGAGTTCCTCCTTTTATTTAGTCGAAAGCATTTTTGAACATAGTGAAACAAGCAAACTAAGATAGTAATAATGCAGAGGTTAAAGCAAAATTGGAGAAGTTAAATAAAGAGAAAGAAAGTTAAAATGTTTACTCCAAGTATCTGACCACTTTATTGATTTAAAGTGGTCATGGTGCCTTAAGTCTGTATGTGCAGCATTTTGCATTGAACTACTGCACATACAGAGAATGACCCCTATGCTACCAGAGTTGTAACTCCACCAGGCAGGCTAATGTCAATTTTGTACAACTTTAGTTCTACAGAATGGCAGTCATAAGCTGAGAGTGGACAGCTGACATTCCCAGCCAATGCATGGTGGCTGTTGTGGCTTCTGCAGGTCTGCAGAAGAAGGACAAGCATCACTGGAGCACCAGAGAGCATCGGAACCCTACGGGGACCCAGGTAATGGGGCCAACCCTTGCTAAATTATTGGGGACGCAAACTAAGATACTCCTGGCTTTATAACCTTTATAGAGTTATGTAATGGCTTTGATGCTTTAAAGAGGGGGAGAGGTAACTGGAAGGTATACAGTTAGGTCCAGAAATATTTGCACACTGACACAATTTTCATAAATTTGACTCGGTACGTCACTACAATACATTTGAAATGCAACAACTAAGATGCAATTGAAGTGTAGACTTTCAGCTTTAATTCAAGGGGTTGAACAAAAATATCATATGAAACTTTCAGGAATTGCAACCATTTTGATACACAGTCCCCTTATTTCAGGGGCTCAAATGTTAATTTATGATACTTTGTCAATAATTATTTGCAGACAATGATCGTTTGAAGTCTGGAAAGCATGAACATCACCAAACGCTGGGTTTCCTCATTTGTGATGCTTTGCCAGGCCTTCACTATATCTGTCTTCAGTTGTTTGTTTGCAGGTCTTAACTGCTGGACAATTGGTGTAATATTGCTCTGTTATTTTGCATGTATAGAATTAAGGGAGGTCAGCAGCAGTGAAGAGAAATTCCAAGTCCACCCACCTCCTCTGGTCCAGAGATGAATGTCAAGCCCCAAGGCAAGACATCTATTTTAACTACATGTATTCTTCTGACCCATGATATAGGGCTTTTGGTCCAACTGTCCAAGTCTCTAATTAGGCACTGAATCAGAGGGGTATCATTTATTTCTAAAAGAGTTTAGTTGGGTCAGTGGTAATATTTAACCCCAGGTATTTGAAAGAACCATTGGTAAAATTAATTTTGTAGAACTCCCTTATCCATACTATCTCTTCAGCTTTTACCTGTATTAGCAGGACTATGGATTTATTCAGGTTGATCCTGTATCCAGCCAGGTCTCCAAATCTATCCAGCATTGAGGTCAAGTGACACATGGTGGTGATTGGGTTAGTTAATGTGATCAACAAAGCATCTGCCTATGCTAAAACAGTGAAAAGAGGTTTGCCTTGACGTGGCAGGCGGGCTTACATCTAATGGCCAATGGAGTTACTAAATAACCTCCATTTATTTAAATATGCATAGGGATTTGGGCTAGTGTGCAGGTAACTTTTTTCTATGTTTTTTGTTGAATGTATTGGGGCTGGTGTGTTCTATGGTCGTTGCTGCTGTCCTGACCCCATATATCCCATATGTTTACATATTTAAATGTGATAATGGCCCGAGTGTTAATGTGAATAGCAAAGGTGACAATGGGCATTCCTGCCTAGTTCCATTCCTTATTTTGAATAGTGCTGGTCTAGATCCTGCTGTTACGGTCTGGGTATTTAAGTTTGCATATAGTACTTGGACTGCTGCAACATATGTTTTATCATAGGCAGCCCAAAATGATTTTGGAGCTCAAATAGAAAAGGCCACTTGATCCTGTTGAACGCTTTCTATTTGTCCAAGAAGAGGACCGGAGAAGGTGTCTCAGAGTCCACGAGGTATCACGCTAAATCTTTATTTCTTATAGTATTCTCACAGAGTTATCTCCCTGGGATAAACCTACTTTGTCAAGGTGGACTAGCATGATAAGCAATGGGTTAAGTCACTCTGCTAGAATTTTTGGGAAAACTTTTAAATCAAAATTCATTAGGGAGATGGGTCTATAGTTAGTCGCTTGGGTATGGTCACACCCCAGTTTGGGAATTAATATTATGTTGGCTAGGGACATGTCAGGATTAGGGATCCCTCTGTTCATAAAGTTGTTTAATAGAGATCCAGGGAGGCAAATCAGGTAATCTCTTAATGTTGGATTCATGAGCTGCGACTGGACACTAGCATATGGTGTAGTACTAAAGAAAGTGTGGGGCTCATAAGACTGTTTAGTTTGTGTATTACTTTCCCATGGACATGGGTGCATCCGCCTTCTGCACCTCCTTCCCAGTGGCAACCAAGGTGATATGGTAAGTAGCAGTGAAAGGAAAGGGAAAAACTGAGGTTGAGAATAGGGACAAAATTTAGGCGAAATGCAGCAATATGAGATACATTATATAGCACTTTACACAGGTAAAATGAATCAACAAATTAAAACAAATAGGATCTAGGCTTACTAACTGCCAGATTTATATGGGAAACGGGTAATTCCCTTTCTGAACCCATTGAAGGTCATCAGCTTGAAAGGGTGGCCCTAGGCGAACTTGATATTACTTGCTCTCAGCAGGTCAGCAATCAATATCCAGGTTATGTGCTTCTGTATCGTTGCTGGGCCAAGTCTAGATACAGTTGAAGTTCCTTCCCTTTAAAGGTAATGGGCCTTTCTTTTACTGCTACATAGAATGGCTTCCTTGGTTTGGTAGTAATAAAAACTAATGATCATATTGTGGGGGGAGTCCGTTCCCCGATCTTAGAGCCTGTAGAGCCCTGTTTACAAGCCATAGATAGTTTGGTGTATAAGGTAGCAGAGAATGTTGATGAGGGGCCACTCACCCTACTGCTCTAGCAGTCCTTAACATCTGGAGGTTGTTACACCTAGATATGTTTGACAGATCCTCCAGTGCTGTTTCGACATTCTCTATATGCTTGGTAAGTAGGTTGAAGTATTCCACCTTTCCGAGCCAAGGGCTTAAATCTTGGCCTTGACAAGGTCTTGATTTTGGCCAGTTTCCCTAGTATTTTAGTAGTGTTGGCCTGCCCTGTGAGTAGGTAATCTGATTCCTCAGAGTTGAGAGGCATGTGGGGCTAAAGACATGTCCACCACTGACACATGTACTTCAGACAGACGCTTCATTTGTATTCTGGGTGTCGGCATCACAATATCCACCTGGACCAAGATTTTGTTAACTCTGGATTAGGTTAAGGCTTTTAGCCAACACTACAATAGTAAGAAAGTGGAAAAACACCCAGAATACGTGTAAATTAATATATAAAATATGCAACAACCTGATGGAAAATGTAATCCATATGAATTCTGTATAAAAAAATCAGAGATCCAACATAGCGTAATACAGTAAAAAACTTGGCAATATATAGATATAGGTGATTGTAGATACACTCACAAACACACGTGGAATATGGCTTCTCGCCCACTCAGGAGCAAATATATGATGGTGATAAGACTGGAAAATCCTCTCAATGGAACATATGGAAATAAAGGAAATCACAGATAGTGAAGTATGTTGTAAAAATACAAAATCACAATTTATTGGTCACACTTACATGTGTGTATAGCACAAAAAGCATGTCTCTCAGTAACCTTGAAACTCCATGCAGTATGGTCCTCAATCCAAAATAGGAAGTGGCAGGAGGGGTTATCAAAGAGCAGCCAAAAATACAGATATATACAGATTAAAAACAATATAAAATAACAATGTGGAAATAAAGTCCATACATAAATCCAACGCGTTTCGTCCTGTCACAATGTAGGACTTCTTTTAGCCAACACTGTTGTAGTGACATAGACAGAGGAGCTCAGTGCTCATTCGGCCATCTTTTTTCGACAGTTAAACCACGCCCCCTGTTCTTTTATTTTTATTGCTTTAAATAAGCAGTGAACTACAATGTGTGCAAATGAAAGAATAACAATCTTATCAGTCGCTGTGCTCTGTAAATAGAACCAAATTATTTATATACATTTGACATTAATGCATTGTTAGCTGTGCTCTGTAAATAAAACCAAATTACTTACCTTTAACATTAATGCATCTTTAGCAAACCCCCAAACTGTCAGCAAACCAGGAACACTTGTCTCCATGTGATGCTCAATTTTCACAGCACTCCTGAGCTTCTCACATACAGCAGTGCATTATGGGTGCAGCAAGGGCTTCTGAGAGTCGCAGTTCAATTAATAGTAATAGTTAATAGCTAAATTACAACTCTCGGAAAAGTCAACGCCTGAAATGTCACTTCCAAGGATTTTTAATATTATATTTAATTATTTAAAGGATCATTATAGTGTCAGGAAAACAAAGCGGTTTTCCTGACACTATAGTGTTATGAGGGTGCCCCCACCCTCAGGGTACACCCCTTCAGCCCTTACCTTAATCCAGCGCCGGGCTCTTTCAGCGCTGGTGACCTCTCCTCCCACTCCGACGTCAGCCCCCTCATCCGACGTCACTGGAGCCGAATGCGCATGCGCGGCAAGTGCCGCGCTGCATTCAAAGTGTCCATAGGAAAGCATTTCTCAATGCTTTCCTATGGACGCTCTGAGCGATAGAGGCGAAATTCGCCTCCAGCGTTGTAGATGCGCCTCTAGCGGCTGTCCAGAAGACAGCCACTAGAGGCTGGATTAACCCCAAATTCTATGAAACTGCTATGTTTGCATCTGAAGGGTTAAAACCTGAGTGACCTGGCACCCAGACCACTTCATTGAGCTGAAGTGGTCTGGGTGACTATAGTGTGCCTTTAACTAATATGTTTTTGTAAGGTATGAAAAATAAAATTTAAAATGTAGAAATCCACACCTCTTTTTCCTACAACTGGGCGCATCCATCTTAGCTCCCTGTCAATCATTGTTATAACACTGTCCTTTGCCTCTGCCAGTCAGCATAGCCATAGAAAGTATACAGACAAGAGGAGAAAACAGTGATTACATTTATCCTTTTCATTTGCAATGTGTGCCCTGGATGTGCCTTGACTGAACTAAATTATGACGTAATTAGCTAAATCTTTAATGTAAATTTAAGAGAAAACGGAGTATCAACTGAATAAATGTTAACATAAGGTTTAGGTGATTTTCAGTGTTTTTATCCATAATTTATATTCCAGAGAAGTGGCACTTCCCCTTTAAAGAAAAAGAAAGGAAAAAAAGACACAGCTTAACTAACTATAACCTAAATTGCACTAAATGTGTTGGCAGCTATGTGCCCCTTTAAATACAACGCCAACAATAAAAGTCCATTGTTATATCAAAATACCAGAATATCTTGTAATACTTACTACAGATAGTTGCAATACCTTTGTCTAGGTTCCCACATAAACAAATACCAGGGTGATTAGAAGAATAACAATCCTATTGGCCGCTGCGTTCTGTAAACAATCTGTCTGTGACTGTATCCAGTCACAGTAGTTATTGTAGCTATAAGCCGGGGTATGTTTTCACATTCCTGTGGGTCAGATCTTTTATTAAAAAAAAAAAAAAAACAGATAGCAATATCAAGTTCTCAGGCAAGCCTCTGGCAATAAAAAAAAAAAAAAAAAGTTTGGTTACAACTATATATTTTAATAAAACTTTTTTTTTTCCCTTCTGGTTCTAAAGAGACGTTATAAGAGAATTAACCAAAAAAAAATAAAATTAATTACTGCCTCAAGCCCCCTCAAACTGTGTCACTAACATTTCAGGTCTGTAAAAGGTTGAATGCAGTGATAACATTATGTTATATATTATGTTTGTTTATCCTTATATGTAACAAATAAATATTTGTGAAGTGTGAATAATAAAATAGAATGTGCAAATCCACATCTCCTGTAACTGGGTGCCTTCATCTTAGCTCCCTGTCAATCTAGGTCATCAACTCTGTCCTTGGCATCGGACAAAAAAAGGGTAAGCATAAAGAGATACCAGCACCCTTAAAAGCTAAGAGGAGACGGGAACCAGCACCAGGGAAATCCTAGGTAAGAAGTCAAACCACTGACTACTTAAATTGAGGGGGTACCAGTGTACTACTAGCACCATAACCACTACAACACACTTCAGCATAAGTTATAGGTGCTTTCAATGTTGTATTTAATGGTATAAATTCCAGAGGAGGGACAGTTCCCCTCTTTTTAGCTAGATATTAAATGCAACACAAAATCTTTCAGTCTTCAGTATAAGAGACGTAGCCCTACAGCCAGCTGAAGAGATCTAAAAATAAAAAAATATAAATAAAATAAAAGCAGACTATAATCAATTATACTAAATTAGAAATTTCATTTATTATGGAAACACACTTATGAAGCAAACATGTTAAAGCAAGTGTTGACTATGACCATAAATAAAAGGTTTTTTTTTTTTTTTTCAAAAGCTGATCTGTAATTCTAGTTAATTGTATTCATTTATTTTGTGTAAATATATATATTTGATATTTTTCACATTATATACTTTAATTATTTGCGGTCTTATA